ATACCATTCCCAGTGGAGGGCATAGTTGGGAGGCTCCAAGGCCTTGTGATCTTGTAGACCCAAATCCTCTCCCACCCACACTCTCAACACACACTTTTGTACTCCTCTCCAAAGTCCAACATGGGCAGGAGAGGCCACCCAAAGTTTTTCTGTACTGGCTGGAGGAATTTCAGATCTTCCTCTCTGTGACTGGTATGAGCATGGTTCAAGACCGCAGGAAGGTAAATCTATGGGCCACAGGGCTACAGGATTATTACTATTATTACTATTATTATTATTACTACTACTACTAAATAGTTTTATTATTAGTTCTATAGCTTATTTATTTATATTTATTTATTTATTTATTTATACCTCGCCCATCTGGTATATTCTACCACTCTGGGCGGCTTAAGAGAATGATTTTAGTAAATATTTTCATTACTGAAGACCCCTTGAAGCTCATGAAATTACATCTGTCTAAATGGTCAGTGTGTATCTTTAGAAAAGACTGAAGAGTGTTTCTGTTCTGCTTTTCCAAGTACGTAGTAGCATCTTCTGTGCTCACTAAATCAGTGAGATGGAGCCCCTGGCTGCTGAGCCAGGGGGGAGGAGTTTGATTCCCCACCATGTCTTATCAGAGAAGACTGAGCCTGTGTCTTGGGCAAAAGTACATGGTCCAAGAGTGCCCACGGAACTTCTGAATATACATAGGAAAGCCTGAAAAGGTTTGCCATAGGTCGCAATCAACTTGAAGGCACATAATTATTATTAGTAGCAGCAGTAGTATGTGCTTTATTAGTATTAGTACTGGGTTCACTTTAAGGAATGGAGGTTGCTCATTAGCAAATTGCTTGGGAGTGGTTCTGGAGAAGTCCATGGCTGGCTGCCCAAAAAAAGAAAAAAAAGGAAGGAAGGAAGGAACAGTGTAAGAAAAGACCTTCACAATGCAACACTGGGAACCAAGGCAATTCCATCAGCCCTGCTGACAAATTGACAAATCACCTCCATCATGCTTTTTCCTCCATTATTCCCACCTCAGTTAATGGCAGCAAGTTGCAAGAGAAATTGATGCGCATTCCACCAGCTTGGCTAAAAAATCCCTTGACCTTTCCTCTGCTCTCCCTGTCTCTATTTCCTTTGGTGTTATGCATTTTTAGATGATGATTCTGCAGAAGAGGAGTGCTTTGTTTTTTGCTAATTGTACTGCCACAAAAGATGTTTTGGCTGACGAAAAGGATAAAGATGTCTTAATTTAATTAATCTAGCAAACAAGCCAATGAGAAAAGAAGAGTGGAAAGTACTGTGGCCAATATTGTTTGGGTCTGTCTGTCTATCTGAGTGCCCTTCTAACAATATCACCATGAAACTGAGATTTCAGAGAAAACGACATGATCCATCTTTTTGTTTGGCTTCTTAATGCAATTTAATGGCAATGATTTAACAGGCAGCAGTGTGGCCTGTTTTCATTCAAGATCTTATCTAAGTATTGTCACTCTGATGCACTTCATTCTACTCTGCATTCAAAACACAACCATCTCATAATCTGAAGTATAGCCAGAAAAGCTGAAATAATGTTGAGGATACTCAGAATTTGTATCAGGTTAGCAATGGGCAACTTAGTCCACCTCCAGACATCCCATCTTAGGCTGATAGTGAATTGTCAAAGCAAGGGAATAAAAGTAAAAGCCTGGCTAAAAAAAAAAAAAAAGACTTTTAAAGTGGGGGAGCAATGTTTATGGAACAGGAAGGGCATTGCTATATAGATAGGGTCATTGCCATTGCCATTTTAAAAGGCACAACCAAATTATTTTATATTTGTAAGCCAGTGTTTATGTAAAAATGCTCATGTGAATGTTCTCCCATTTGAATCCAGCTTGGTGACAAGATTCTGGGTATTGTAGTCCAAAAATGTAACTTTTCCATGTTCTGTGCTTGAGTATATCTTGGTCAACTTCCACCTCCTAAATCTGAAACATAATAATCATCATTGGAAGACAGGGGGAAAAGGTACAGAACTGTATTAATGGATGTAATTTTGTAGCTGGTCCCTGTGGATGCCAAGGCCTATGGATAGAAATGTTTAGTTTGGAGCTGCAGGTGATAAGAATACATAAGGAGGTGGTGCCAGTGGGAGGCAGGAAAAGGGCTCCTTGTCTGTCAGTTTATTCTTCCTGTAAGAGTAATATTGACCACAGACCTCCACCAAGTTCTCCTTTTCTTCTCGGGGGTTTAATTCAGGGGTTCATTTACTTCTTCAGCTTCAAGAGCACAGCAGGCAAAAGTGTGTAGAATCTGGTGTGATAAAAACGTATACACAATTATTGGGTGAAATGAATAATTTACAAGCCCTATAGTGTTCGTTCCCAATCAGCTTAACAGTCCTTGTTTACTTTTTCCATTCTCCCACCCTCCAGCTGTCTCCTAGTACCGTTAGGAGGAGTGAGGCTGTTGCCTCAGGCAGTGGATGGTGGGAGATAACTGGAAGTGGGGTGTTGGAAGGAGGAGGTGGGTACGCAAGACAGCATGGCCAGAGTACTCTTGCACTTAAAAGGTCCAGGAGTTGGCAGTGAGAAGCCTAGGATGGAGTGTTCTGCTCCGGGTTCAACATTGCAGAAGCTTTCAACTGCCACTCCCTTTGGCACATGGAAAGGGGACAGGCCTCCTCAGGCCAAGACATGTCTCGGGCACCTCTGCTCAAAACTCTCCTAGTTTCCTCAGAATGGATCCAGTAGACTGCAGGGAGCCAAGGGAAAGTCCATGATGGGCTGTGTTGCTGCCATGTGCTGTCAAGTCATTTTTCCAGCTCAGATCTTGCAGTCCAATGGTCGTGGCTTCCTCCTCTGACACTCTAACCTGGAGAGGGGGGGGATCTGAGTGTGGAAGCTGAGCCTAGTGCCGGTGGGAGGCTAGGCTCTGCTACCAATCTGGTCTCCTTGCAAGGCCCTGGCTTTCTTCTTTCCTAGGTGGGAAAGAGACCCCACACATTCAGAGGCCAGAACGTCTATGGAAAGGCTCTTAGCCTTTGGCAAAGTCAGTGGCCCAGAGATCCCCTGTTGCTAGGAGACAGCGAAGGGCCAAGGGCTGTCGCCTTAGCGCCGGGCTGGTGGCCTGCCCTGACGCAGGGGGGTGGCCGGCAGAAACCTTTGGTCTCTTCTCGTGGGTCCTTCTCTCGCTCAAGGAAGACCATAGGACGCCCGACGGAAGTCTTGGATTTTATTTAATCGATGCCCATTAACGATATTTTCACAGGCAGATACTGTACCTGTGAAAGCGGCGGGCCTGTCTAGGATTCCCTTCCCATTTAAGTAGGAGGAAGCCGCTCAACCTGCCTCTTCGGCGGCCCGCCTTTTCCAGCGCTAGAGCTTCCTCGCGTTCGCTGTTTTCCCGTTCAAACTCTTTCCCAATGGAACACAATACTGCACAATGTCGAGAAGGGGAAGGGAGAGAAGGGGCCTGGCTGCGGTGCCGTGGCGTCCCGTTCGCAGCTAGCTGCCTCCGGGCCTCCGAAAGCTCTCGGCCGTCGGGGTGGCGCGATGGAGGCGCCGGTGTGTGGAGCGGCCCTGCCTGCCCCAGTGCGGGAGGTTCGGGTCGGTGGCGGTAGTGGATCCTCCACGATGGGTCCTCCAACATTCTCCTCAGAGAGGAACCGGGCGCATCGGCCGGTTTTGCTCTCTTTCGACGCCCAAGGAGTTCCCGCCACTCCGAACCACAGGGCAGAAAATCTTTCCCCTCCCTTCTGAATCCTCTTGGGTTTCTTTGACGGTTCTGGATCAAAGCGGACATGAAAACAGAACCCCCTAGCGCTTCAGCACCTAATGCTTGAGAGTAGATCCATTAGCCAAGATACGCCAAAAAGCCGCCCCCCAAATCCCCAGACCCGCACAGGCGTCTGCCTTCTCTCTCTCCCCCCTCAAGGGTTAACTCTTGCGGCCGCTTCTGGAGCACCTGTTCTTCCAGCTCATCGAAGACCTGCCAGGCAAGGGCGGATCGATAGCCGTGTTGCCTTATATGGAGACCCTCGCCCATATTCATTTAATAAGGATGGATGACTCTTCCATTAGTGAATTGCCCGCCAAGAAGCATAACTTACCCGTTCAGACTCGTGGCTCCCTCCCCGCCCGACTCCTGCTCAGCCCCACTTATGAGCTTTGCTTGCTAACAGGGTGTGTGGGGGGGAACTGGGGGGCAGCGGGGTAAGGTTTTATTTCTCAAGAAGCCAGACACAGTCCTTTGCTTTTGCTTGAAAGGGGTGACCAAACTTAAGGGGTTTGTTGTTTTGTTGTTCTTAAGACACCTAAGGAGTTTGAAGACCCGGGGGTTACCATCTCCACGCAAGAATTGCAGGTTGTTCATGACTTTGCGTACCTTGGCTCAACGATCTCTCACTCTCTCCCTAGATGTTGAGCTGGATAAATGCATTGGCAAAGCAACTACTGTGTTCTCTAGACTCACAAAGAGAGTATGGCTCAATAATAAGCTGATGACATATGGCCCAGCCCCCCGCTGCGTCAGCAAGAGGCGATGCTGCCGGGGGAGCTGGTGGGCGGCCGGTTCCCGCGCCTGCAGAGGCATTTCCCACCCGCCGATCCGGTGGTGCCCCCTCCTGCCCGCCCTTCCTGAGCATCACTGGGTGGCCGTCCAGTCCTCCCGCCGCGCCGTCCCTGGGCGCGCTGGGCAGAGCGCCGCGCTCGGGCTCTAAGGCAAAGTTGGCGCCGCCGCTGCCGCCATCCCTGGCGAGCTGGTTGGTGTGGAGGCGCGAAGACCCTTCCTGCGCCCGGGCGAGCAAGTGAGCGAGCGACAGGGACCCACCAGCACAGCATGCAGCGGTGCCGGGGCCGCGCGCTGGGCATCTCGGTGGCGGTGGCGCACGGGGTCTTCTCGGGCTCGCTCAACATCCTGCTGAAGTTTCTCATCAGCCGTTACCACTTCGCCTTCCTGACGCTGCTGCAGTGCCTGACCAGCTCCACGGCGGCGCTCAGCCTGGAGGTGCTGCGGCGCCGGGGCGCCCTCGACCCAGCATGCAGCGGTGCCGGGGCCGCGCGCTGGGCATCTCGGTGGCGGTGGCGCACGGGGTCTTCTCGGGCTCGCTCAACATCCTGCTGAAGTTTCTCATCAGCCGTTACCACTTCGCCTTCCTGACGCTGCTGCAGTGCCTGACCAGCTCCACGGCGGCGCTCAGCCTGGAGGTGCTGCGGCGCCGGGGCGCCCTCGACCTGCCGCCCTTCGGCTTCAGCCTGGCGCGCCTCTTCGCCGGGGTCACGGTGCTCTCCACGCTGCAGTCCAGCCTCACCCTCTGGTCCCTGCGCGGCCTCAGCCTGCCCATGTACGTGGTCTTCAAGCGGTGCCTGCCCCTCGTCACGCTCCTCATCGGCGTCCTGGTGCTCAAGAACGGCATCCCCTCCCTCGGCGTCTCCGTGGCCGTCCTCATCACCACCTGCGGGGCCGCGCTGCCAGGTGAGTGCCGCCCCCCCCCCC